GCAATCTTGGAGGGAGGTCCGGAAGGCGGCGGATGAGCTGCCTAGAGGAGTGCGGATGCGATTTCCTGCCTTTAAGGAAATCGGTGGAGATGGAGTTTCCGAGCAGAGGGCGAAGGTGGCGGCTTTATTACGGGAGGTCCGAGAGTCGGTTAGTCACAGCGGCACCACCATCTTGTCAGATGGTCGGAAATCGCGTGATTCTCGACCCATCGTGAACTTCCTTGCTGCGGGCACAAATGGCGCCCTACTCTACGCTACCATTTGCCGCGACGGTTCTGTACAGGCGACGGGCGCCATTGTCTTCCGCAGGTGGAAGGCCATCATTGAGTCCTTCCGTGCGAAGGACGTCATAGCTTTCTGTACAGACTCCGCTAGTAACTACACGGCGGCCGCCCGTTTGCTCGCCGCAGACCCCGATCCAGTGGTCCGGCGCATCACTCTGCTCCCCGGCTCGACCCATGTCTGCAACTTGATGTTGTCATACATTGGGACACGAGTGGGGTGGGAAGTTGACACCATTATCCGTGGACGAGCGATGGTGCGATTTATTAAATCGCACGACGCAACTCTCGCCCTTTACAAGAAGAAGAGCCCGCGCGTTTCACTCGTGCAGCCAGTTGAGACTCGCTTCGCATAAGTTTTCATGATGCTGACTTGTCTCCTTGGGAGACGTGACTTGCTGAAGGCAATGTTGCATGACGACGTGTGGGCGAGTATCCTGTGGGAGCGGAGACTGCTGCCCCAGGCGAGATGGGTGCGTCTCCAAATTCGAGATGGCGAGTTCTGACGCTATGTCGAGTACTTGATTCTTGTGATGGAGCCCATCCATCAGCTCCTGAGGCTGATGGACAGAGGAGGGATGATGATGTCCATCGTCTACGAGTGGAGCCGTCATCTTGTTCAGCTTCTGACGAAGATGGACGTTGTGCCGGCTGATCTTCTGACCCGGTGCGTGCGAGAGGTCAGGATGCGGCTCATGCACTTGTTGGAGCCTGCGCACGCTGCCGCTCATCTCCTAAGCCCCCGTCGTCGGTCTTTGAGGTACTACGCGTCCCTCCACACCACGACGGAGGATGCGGAGGTTGTACAGGAGTGTGATCGTTTTCTCCTTGCACAGACTGGAGGTCATCCCACCAGCAGGGATTACCTCGTTGTTCGTGACCAGATGCGCCGATTCCATGCGCGCAGTGGAGACTGGGGTGACTGGCTGGTGTCGGATGCCGAGGCGGAGGATTGTCAGGGGGATCAGGAGACGCACCATTGCGCGGCGTGGTGGTTTGCCCACGGCACTGCCCACCCTGAGTTACGTGCTATCGCTATCTGTGTGATGCACATGTGGACGACAGCCTCTCCCGCGGAGAGGAATTGGGCGGCCCACGAGCGCATTCATACGGCAAAGCGGAGCAACCTTGGCTTCGCCAAGCTGGCACAACTGGTTGAGATCACGACAAATCTCAAATCGGCTTCATGTAGGCAGCAGGGTGGCGGCTATGTGCTTCCGTGGGTCTTGGAGGGTGTCGACACCGAGAGATGGCGGCCGGACGAGGACGAGGACGGTGGTGACCCCGAGCCTGACGTGTGGGGGGCCAGAACTGTTGGTACGTTCAGCGACCAGGACATCAGGAGGCAGATCGATGTTTTTCGCAAGGACGGCACAGACCGTCCTCGAGAGGTTTCTGCCGTATTCGGGAATCGGGCGGCCACTCTGCTCCCTTTCGACCATGTGCCTCCTCCCCCGTCCCGGGGAGCAGGAGAGGGTTCTGCGGCAGCCGATGAGGATGGAGAGGACGATTGGACGGACGCAGAGGATGTGGCGGGGGGCACAGACAGGACGACGGAGCAGGTTTACTTCACGTACGGGGGCGGGTCGGACGGGCATGCACCGCGGACGTCCGTCATCACGGACGATGTCGCCGGCGGGGCACAGGGTAGCGCCACTCGATCACCTCCAGCGGGTCGAGGGCATGGTCGTGGCGCCGTTGCTCGCGACGTTCACCCCCGCGCGAGGAGAGTTTTAGGGGTGGATTCAAGTGACGAGGACGAGGGCGTGGCACCTCACGCTGACCACCTGCGGGACCCTCGGTTCGATCCGAGCCACCACTCCAGGGAGCATTCAGAGCAGCTTCGTCGATCACACAGGTTGGCAGAGCGTAGCGGTCCGACGTCCCAGCAGCCTCAGGACATACCGGTCGTGGAGGGGACACCGTTACATAGCGGCCCCGCTCAGCCCGCGACATCCTCTCTGCGCACCAGCGACTTCGATATCGCGGGTTCGCATGGGGGCTCACCTGTCTTACGATGCAGAGTCAGTGACAAAGCGGAGTACAGGACGAATGTCAAGGAGAGGGAGGAGACTGTTGAGGAGAGGGACGCTCGCCTAGATCGCGAGGAGGAGGCACTGTTACAGTCCATGCCTCGATGGGAGGGCAGAGAGGCGTTTGAGGCCGAGCAGCGGGGGCAGAGGGAGTTAGAGACGATAGGAGCGGGTCCGCCACTGAGCGTCGGACGTATGTCGAATTCTGACACGATGCAGCCCCCCTCTAGGCCCTCTCATGTTGTGGGTGGTGGTGCTGACACATGCGGATTGGACGCTGGAGGCGAGGGGCAGGCAGATGTGCCATGCGAGGGTGGTCATGTCGGGGGTGTCGAGACAGTCGCGACAGACACAGGAGCTGAGAGCTCCGACGACGGCAAGGAGTGTGCGGCCGCCGAGGCTATCGTAGGCGACGTCGTGATTGGCATATGCGCGGCTAGCACAGATGGCGGGACTCATGGAGGGGAGGAGGGGAGGAGGGGATGGTGGACGAGGGCAGTGTGCCTTTGCCTTAGGAGGAGTTGGTGGACGAGGGGAGTGTTCCTTTGCCTCAGGAGGAGTTGGACGAGGGCGATTTGGCTTTGCTTGAGGAGGAGTTGGTGGACGAGGGCAGTGTCCCTTTGGAGGGCAATGTGCCTTTCGTTGATGACGCGGCAGAGGGTGACGAGGAGGGAGCAGCGGTCGATGCAGGCCACAGTTCCCCGTCCGTGCGAGATGGAGTGACCAGAGGGCATGTTGAGGAGGAGGGAGCAGCCATCGATATGTCCCTCGCGATTATTGTTACGCCCCAGTCGGTGCGAGATGTCGAGAGAGGAGGGCATATTGACTCGGGCGGGCCGGGCTTTTTCTATGCAGGTGGGAAGTTCGGGGAGATGCCTCGGTGGGATGGCGGGGAACCGGGGGAGTGCACTCCGACCCCATTACGTCCGGAGCAGCTAGAGAGGTTGGGGACGAAGGACCCTTTCCCGTTCACTGGTGGTCAGTCGTCGCCTCCCCCGTGGGCTCCAGTGAGCCCTAGGTGGACCGGATCATCGCAGTCCGACATCCGCGAGCGGGAGTCTTTGGAGAGACAGGCGACAGTGTTTTCAGGCGGGCCTGGCAGCAGCCATGCGCAGCCACTGACGCGCCCTGTATCTCTAGCATTGCAGCAGAGATCAGCACCGGCTGCAGGTCTTCCACCGATTGGAGGTCGAGGCAGCGGGCGGGGATCTTCTTCGAGTGATCGAGGTGGCGTTTTAGGGGGGTGGTCGTCTTGTCGGCGAGTGACGGACAGTCTGAGGAGGGACTACGATAGAGGACGGGGGTTGTTCGCACAAGGACCATTGGGGGAGGGAGATCCTGCAGCGGGTGCGAGTGAGGCTGGACGATCGAGTGTCCACACGGCAGGACGTATACTCGGATTGGATAGAGTTGAGACGAGGAGGACAGAGAGGTTGGAGGTTTATCCGGCTCGATCAGCCATTGACGATAGACGGCAGGGACTGCCGTACACATCAGGCGAGGAGGACTTGCATATGCCACAGGGTTTGAGACGTCATGGCTCGATCAGGGATCTTGATGCGGAGATTGTTGCTGACCAGCAGCGGTTGGCGGACCTCATTCGCAAGCGTGGGAGGAGGTCGGAGACGGAGGCACAGACTGAGGAGGCGGATACAGAGACTGAGCCCATCGACACAGTTATACGGAGAGAGAGGCATCGGAGAGCAGCGTCCGCGGCAGGCTCACACCTTGCACCCGTAGGGAGAGAAAGAGCACCACACTGTAGGGGTCAGAGTGGGCAGAGAGGAGCATTGGCAGGGAGAGGGAGTGCAGCACGTCATAGCACTCACACTAGGCGCGCCTGGAGCGGTAGCAGGGGTTAGCGACTTGTGTAGTACGGTAGATCAGTTTTGTACTTTCATATTTTTTTGTATGTTATCTTTATTTTATTTGTACATTACTGTCATGTTCTTAGTTGTTAGGTTTTGGACTTGCTCTACGTTGTTAGTTTTACACGGCAGGAGTTAGCGACTTGTGTGGTAGGGAAGATTAGTTTTGCACTTTCATGTTTTTGTATATTATCTTTATTTTATTTGTACATTACTTTCATTTCTTAGTTGTTAGGTTTCAAAGTTGCTCTACGTTGTTAGTTTTGTTGTGCTATGTTTCCATCATGTTAGGTGTCAAACTTGCTCATGGTTGTAGTATTTGTTTCCTACACTGCGACACCAGTTTTGGTTTTCTTGGCCAGGTTGTCATGTTGACTTTGTTAACATTTCGTCATAAACACATTACGTTTGCTAGTGCTATGTTTGCATCATGTAACCACCTTTCAGCCACTGAGCCCTCTCTTTCTGCCCCCTCCCAATTAATGACATCCACCAACACCCCAGCCTTGCTAGCGCCGTTCGCCGCTTTCTACCGCGGACTTCCCCCTACGCCCTCCGCTCACGCGGACCTCTTATGGCCCCCTCCAGTCCGGTCTGTCATCTCCCCATGGCCGACGGTGCGTCACACGCCGTCGACACGGCGATGACCACGGCATCGGGCTCCACACCCGTGCCGGCGGACCAGGGCCATCAGCCCCAGGGGGATCTACACAACCTCCTCACCTCCCTCCTCGCGCCCATCCAGGCGCAACTCGCGACCCTCGGGCCCCTACAGGCGCAGGTGGCGACCCTTGCCGCCGGCGTGCAGCAACTCCAGG